TAAAAAAAAAGAAGAAATTGAAAGTCGTAGTGGGGTTATACGATACAGGGTATGAAGCACTTGCAGTCGTCTTTTTTTTTTCTTGAATATGTTAATGTGAATTGAATAAAATTGCTTGGACCTTCATTCAAGAATGATTGACATAGCGGGTTGAAAACGTTTTTTCGCACCAACGTAATTTGCAGGATTGGTTGTGTCAGATGATCCATAAATATGAGATCGATTGATCTCGCGTTTCCGTCGAAATTGGTTCTCCCTTATCTATACTTCATCAACCAATCCACGTGATTCCTTGCAAAAGCAAGTTTCGTATCAAGATCAGTGTTCTCTCAAAATCTCCTTCTTTAACTTTTTCTCTTCATTTTCGTCGTTAAACTGGACTATTTCTCGGCACGAGTGAGAGAACGAGTATGTGTATGTGTGTGTGTGCGTGCAGCCTGTTGATCTAGCAACACCTTAATCCTTTGAGTACTAGATGGAGCGTGCGAAACTCGGAGCTTTGTGAAAAAGCTAGATAGCGAGATTGAATAGAGGGGCAGGGGGTGAACAAACGAACAGTAGAGAGGGTGGGAGAGAGAGAGAGAGAGAGAGCAAGAGGGCAAAGGCAAAGAAATCGAAAAAATTGAAAAGAAGCATGGTTATAGAATGACGTATAGAGCTCGCAGGAAAAGCTATTGCAGAAGGTTAACCAATAATAGAACAGTTCCGCCTTATTGAAGCTTTTTGTTCCGTACCTTTTCTCCTTCCACTTTTCTTTTTAGCCTTCTTACCTTCTATGCAAAAATCTCAATCTTTGCTTAGTAGGATTTTAAATATTATTTAGAAATCGAATAAGTTGTTTGACATTTCTCATGTTTATAAAATACCTTGGGTAAATTTTCCGCTTCGAAAATAGTACTCTTTTTATTTGTGTAAAAAATTGAAGTTATCTGTCATAAAATTTTCGTTAAACTAAATTATAATTCTATCAAACAGGATACATAAAAGAAAAAAACAGGATATTGTCATAAAAACAATTATTAAATAAATGGACATGAAACAATAAGAGACAAAGAGTTTTAAAAAAGTTTCAGATCACAAGGCATTTATACGTGGGAAGAAAAAGGAAAGAAAATAGTTCATCAAAAAAGTAGAAAAACTTGGCATGCTTCTGGCGTACATGCAGACTGTCAGGCTATGTTGCTAGTTGTTCAAGCTGCCAGAAGATAGGCTCCAAATACGATATCTAGTTTTATTCACACATATATACTCCACTTCCCAGTTGATTTTTATTCAAGAGAAGGAAAATTTTGAGCCAACTTTCTTCTTTTCAAAGGTGTACGTGAAATATCCAGAATTCGATGCTGCCTTTGTACCACATTTTGCCTTGTTTTCGCAAATGATTTTTATCTCGCTCCATAAACCTTTAAAATTCAAAAGTCGATAAATATATTATACTTTTTTAAGACTGTAAAGCTAAATTTTGAGAGATGATCGATTATAAATTAATGTACAGAACAATTAGATTTTTTAAATAAAAGGGAATTAAAAGAGCGTCTGCAAATTTTTATCACTTAGATCGGGTTAATAAAACATTTAAAAACATATTCAAAATTAACTTGAATATTGGCTCAGGGGTTTGGTCAAAAGTAAGCTGCAATTTAGCATATATTCAAGCGAAAAGGAGACGAAAGAGGTAGAATGATAACGATGGATGGATTGACGATATGTCTGCACTTGTGTTATCTATAGTGTCTACACATTTTAATGCATTATTACTCTCATGGCTGGTTTACAAGTACTTAGTTTGCGAGGAAAACTTACAACCTCTCGTATTAGAATTTATAACATTAGAAGTCACGCCAAGGATTTTTTCCCGAATATAATTAATAATATATCAAATAATTTAAATTTCGGAGTGTGATAATTAAATAAAGATAAATAAATATTATGCCAATGTAACAAAATAAGATTGTTACATTGTAACAATCAATTCAACCTGTTCGATTTTAACAATCTATAAAATAAGATAGCTTTTAAGATTGAAATATGCGTGACTAATTTCACTTCAAAATGAGGCTTATATATTAAAAAAATTAACCCACAGAATGACTGACATAGTTTTGTCGCAGATATACGACTTTATTAGAGTGGTCGTACATCCGCACATTATGAAATATTCTTGTTACCCGCATTTATCGTACGAAGGTAAACCTCAAGCCCATCAATCTTTTATACGTATAAATATATCGTATCGTACCTTCGCGACAACTCAAATGCACATATATAACCATCATCATCATCATCATCATCATCATCATCATCATCATCATCATCATCATCATCATCATCATCATCACCATCGCCATTATTATCATCAGGAAAGGCAGCGGGAGGTGGTTTGTAATCTTTTCAATGTGTGTATCCACTTATCTAAATGATAAATCTGACTATATTAGTGAGACCATTTGCTGCGTGCTATAATAAGACACTTTCCCTTTATTCCATTTTCAATGTATTTACAAAAATTGGAGCTTAAAAAAATTAGTGTACGGAATTTAGTATTATAGCTACGTTATTAATCATATACCCCTATAGAGAATATCGGCTTCAAAATAAGCTTTCCCAATGAAGTTGAGTAACTGAATAAAAGCTACTTACAATTAATACAGTTCTGAAGATCATAAAATGCTACTTTTATGATGTACATTTTCTCTTTTTTATGAATTATCTCTTTCTCACGAAATAAATATCATAAGGTACATCCAGTTAGCTATTATAAATAATGTTTCCCACTATATAAGAAAAAACGAATTACAAAGCTTGAGTATGGTAATACTCGATCAGTTGTTACTTTTTAACCAAAACTAGCTGAAAGATATTCTTGAGGCACGGTAGACTGGGTAATTTTTTTTTGTCATGTTATGAGTGGTGTTTTCAAGCTCGCTGACGAGGTAATCTTTGCCCCGTGGGGCCATCCTTACGCATTTATTATACCGCTAACGTCCGCTATCCCGCTCTAAGTGAATTCTGACGCCAAGAAAATCTCTGCTGCCAGCGCCGCTTCCCTTTCCCTGCCGCTCGCTGAGCAGCTACTTTATACATACGGCGTAGCCTCTTCTTTCGAGGATATTGCCGGGCTTCGATATTACGCTTGGAAAATCTTTTATCCTTTCCAGACAGCAACGACGACGACGACGATGACGCGACGGTATTCTCATTATGCCCTTGCCTGCTGTGCTACAAAGAAAGAACAGTGACGACACGACGACTGCTATCAATGGCTGTCGTTTTGTTTTTTAATACCGTGAAAATTCTCCACCAGCTGCAATTTATTATCGATCGTCGTACTCTTGGCTTCTTCACCTCCATATAGTTAAGAAAAACGTCGAACCGTATTTTCATCGATTAATGAGGTGCTTCCGATGTATTAGATTGTTTCATTTTTGTAAAAAATTGCCTATGTCGATGCATTTTTCTTTCATATAACCATCCACGCTAATATATTTTTTCACATTATATAATGAAAATGTGCACGAAAGGATAATTTTATAAACAATGTTCTAAAAAACATACAACAACAACACAAGTTAATTAATTTTTATCTTAGAATATAGATCGTGCAAAGCAGTGAATAACTTTGCTCTCCAGAAAACATTTTAAATTGCCATACTTATTTATAATTAGGCATCTACGTGTAAGCTTTTTATCGATGCGAAAAACGGCGCGTGCTTGCCGTTGAAAGCAAAAACTTGATCGTCAGCAGTCGCGACCCCGTTTTGCACACAATCAAATTTTTTTTATTATTTTCTCTCCCTTCGTGCTTCTCAAGGGGAAATATGCACTAAACAGCTCACTCTTGTTGGTTCCTTTCATTTTCTCTTTTCTTTTTTTATCCTCATTCTTCGTATAAACACGCGCACTCTTCTCTGTCACCTCCTTCCTGTTTTTGCCATCTCTCTCTCTCTCTCTCTCTCTCTCTCTCTCTCTTGGTATATAAGCGGCAGGTCGGCGGTGCGATACTTTTAACCACCCCTGCGCGCGCTCGCGCTCAGCCCCGGCCGTGACAGTGTGTTTTCCCGCCTGGAAAGTTTGCGCGCGCCCTACGCTCTCAGCTTTCTGTCGCGAGAATTCAACCGCTATTTCTACCATGATAAATAAAATTGTTCCGCAGAGGCGTGCAGACAAGTTTTGTAACTTTACGCTACTTTTAGAGTGGGCGCGCACCTACATGGCCGAACTTTATGGATGCATTTTTACACGTTGCGGATTCTCGCGTACGTCGCGTTTCAATGCTTGCGCGTTCGGTTAATGCGTTTTTTTGGGGCAAGTTTAAGACGATGTTAAAGATAGCTTGGAAAAATTTCACATTAATAACCTGCGACAATGATTTTGATACTTTAGGAAAATGAAACAATCCAATTGTCAGACATATTAAATGTAATTATAAATTTTATAGAATTCAATAGTATTCTATCAGGTTTTAGAAAATTCATGAAATTTGATTTCTAAAATTGATTAATGAAAAATAAAATATATTACACGTCCTTACACATCAAAACTGTATACGCCTATACAAAATTGTGTAAAATTTATTAGGGGTCAATAAGAAAAATGAAAAATAAAATGTTTCAAACAGATTCAGCGTATAACCATAATATTATTCTGTATTTGCTCTTTATTACTTATATGATTCATAATTTTCAAAGCTTTTAATACATTTCATTATACGATTAGGAAATCTTTCATCCCCTTAACATTGTCAGAAAAAAATAAGCTCGATAAATGGCAACCACTTGAAAATAGTTCAAGCTCATTCATCAGTCCCGGCTTGTCGCCGTATAATTCAATGAGACATACTATTGAGCTTAGCACACGAAAGACTTGGCTCATTCAATTTATATTGATTAAGCGAAGAATGTGTGTATCATTCGACAATGAAAAAAATTAACACTAACGATATCGTTTAATTCTCTTAATGGTAGCCGTAAATTAATTTTGTCAATATTTTGTCATTGCAGTATCCTTTATCAGCGTCTACGGGGTAGCAGATAACAGGGTAAAATTGCCTTGTGACTTGGAATCCGAGAACAACGACGCAGTAAAACTAGTCTTATGGTACAAAGAACCAGGCAATGAACCAATTTATGGGTAAGTCCGCTCTCAATCTCTCTATATAGCATACGACGCAACAGTATAATTGATGCCAAATCGATTTCAATCGAATTTTCAGCTATTTTCAAAGTTAATCCATTATGCACGTGTACGGGGGGCCATAATACGCTTGAATAAATTCTAATGTTCTCTCCCCCTCTCGTTATGTATTATTCTTGAGGCTCTGGTCTGACTAAAACTAACCTTTTCTCAACGCTCGGAAAAAAAAGAAACAGAAAAGAAAAAGGCCGGGTAGAATAAGCTAACCAAAAAGGCAACGGAGTAACGAGACTTTTAGTCGGCACAATGCGCGCATCCGAAGGACAAAAATAAACGAGTTGTTACATAACTTTATTATACGCGTGCAACTATGAGCTCTGAGTGCGCTTATGACACTGAAGGAAAGATTTAAAATGTAAACCTTCTTCGCGAGGTTATAGAGGCACATAGCAGCGACAGAAGCTCGAGTGCTTCAATTGGAAATATCTTTCTTATACATTTTTCTTGCCGCACAGAGAGAGAGAGAGAGAGAGAGAGAGAGTTGCTTGCACGCGCGCGCGTTCACCTCTCTTTCTGATGCCACGGCAATTTATGCGGCTAAAAGCTTCCTCATTCACGATCGACAAGTCTTATAATGGGCAAGTAGAAAAGGAGAAGAAAAAGAGGAAGCGTGTGCGATAGAGGAGCGCGCGAGAGAAGAGAGGCTTTAAAACTCCTCCCTTTCGGTTCCAGACAGACACGCGAGCGGCGGTGGCACACGGTGGCACTGGTGGTAGCTCAACGCAACATCTAGCGCCGCGCATAACAACAGCTCGTGCACACGAGAGAGCGAGAGAGAGAATGAGAGAACGGGACAGGCTTGCAAGGAAGCACATACAAAGCTCGCCTCGAGCGTACAAGTTTAGCTGCCGTGTGCGTAGGTACGAACGGCGTATACACATATAGCGACGCGTCTATATACGACGACAGAGAGTTTCCGCTTCGTGAGTCGTGAAATTTTCATATAAAACGACGACTGCTACTACCCGCGACTGAGCGCGCGCGTTGAATGTGCGCACGCCGCTTGTATGTATATATGTTCGATGCCTGCTGCTGCTGCTGCGCCTATAGATCTTACTTAGGAAGCCTAATAAGGCGTAAAATATGCCGCAACTATGCGCGCGATATTCCGTGCATAGCTTACGTGCATACGCACGCGTAACAACATTTTGCACGAGCGGCTCTTTTTCTACTCCGCTACATACGCTCTATAACCTACACTTTATGTTCTTTAGCCAGTCGGCACGATGCTGCGCGCGCGCTCGTTGCGCTATTCGAAACCTTTAACTCATCATTGCCTGGCGCGAGCTCCCATATAATGCACCTCGACGTGCGCGAATGAAAACCATAGCTCGCGGCTCGTTCTGCGATTATCTATACTATGCCCTCGGAGCTATACAAGTTATTTTCTCGACGAGTTCGCGCGCTAATTATGCTGATAATGCGATCCGCACTGCCGCTGCCGTTTCGAACGCGCGTAAGGCACAAGTGGCTATATGAATCATTGTCTCCGCGAGCTCATGCACGCGGATATGTTCTTTAAAGTAAAGCCATACACGCGCGCGAGTATATTTATATGTTTACCCTCTCGCGCGCATAAAATAATGATGTGCAGCGCTCGAAGAAAATTTAAACAACTTTTCTTCCTGTCTAGGCGTGCGCTACGTATGCGAGCTCGAGTTTAAGGGCGAATCGTTCGCCGGCTTTGAATACTGTATAAGGGTTCAAATGACTGTATAAAGAAAAGCTTTGCCGCCTAATGGCGCACTCAATTCCGAAAAGCGCAGCGTATATGGCAAGGGTAGAAATAGAGTGAGAGAGAGGGGTGCGGGCAGGAGGCTGCGCGCGTGCACGTGAGAAACGAGAGGGAACATCATCATGATAAAGACGATTCTCGTTCGGCTTTAATTGCTGCCGGCTTACGTAACGAAAACATTAAGATTATGATTCAATTAGGTTTTATTAATTTTTTTAATTTCAACTGCCGTCTGCCATTTAAATTGCTCGATCGAATTCAATGTGGTTCTTTGTATAAATTTGCCGGAATTCGACGGAACGGTGGGCGAATAGCCGAAAAAAGGGTATTATTAATAAACCGATTAGTTTCGGTTTTACATGCACACTGATTTCGTCGGCAAAAATCTCACTCTAGGCTCGATAGAAAAATACTATGTTTTGGACCAAAAGCTGAAGTTCTTTCAACGCGGATATAACATATAAAACGTGTCAAATATGGGTCGGAAATTATCGCGTCTCTGACGCAGATAGCATGCGCGTAAATTTCCACGAGCCCCGGGAAAGTGTATTACACAAGTGCTACATATATATATATATGTGTGACGCTACGTATACGTGTATATATTTACGCATTGCGATGGCAAATCGTTGCTACGACGAAGTAACGAACGATCTTCCCTCGGGGCGCTTTTGTATATATACGCAAATACCTGTATATATATAGGGATGATCCATGCATAGGATGCATCGCACGCGAATATATAGAGAGAATTGTCTGGCCGTGATGTGATGAGTGTCTGCCTCGCTTGCGCGAATGTGCGCATCACTATATAGTGTACGTAGAGCGCGCGGTGTAGTAGGCGATAGATAGGAGTTGGCGCGCCACTGAGAATTATAAACCATGCACTTCCTCTCCACATTTCTCTCTCTCTCTCTCAGTCTCTTTCTCCCGCTGCAGAGAGAGAGAGAGCTCACCTTCCGCGGAGTTATAGCGAGCCGCCTGGGGCCCATCACTGGCTGCGTGATTGCATATTAAGCACGCCGCCGACGTTTGCTCCGACTTACCTGCTGCCACCACTCCCACCTATACATATATACATCCCAGATATAATGACGTGTATGCGCGCACGTGTTTGTAGCTGTGTGCGCGCATATAAATGTTATGCATATATGTATGCTTGCGAGGATTATATGTGGAGCAAAGCGCTCGTATATACGTACCGGGCTGAGGAAGAAAGAAAGAGAATTAGGTATTGGTAGCGGCACATGCAATCGCAGGAGGATTTGATCTAACAGGTGTAAGAATGCCGAGAGAAGGAGCGAGAGAGAGATGAAAAGAGAAAGTTATATAGATCTGCAGGTTGCAAGAGAGCGGGGCCGAGGGTGGGTGCTTGGAATTTCTCGGCACAAACGGCTAAAAGTTAAATTGCGTTCCCTCGAAGTATAGCGCTGTATGTATAAACGTATATAGGAGCCGGGTATAGTCGTAGTTGCTGCTGCTCCTGCTGGTGCTACTGCAGTGCACACTGGCTGGCTGGCGGTAGTCAGCGGCAGCAGCAGCAGCAGCGCCAATTCGGATTTCTCCTCGTGACTGAGTATTCCCAAAGCCCTCTTGCGCTCCTGCTCGCGATGCAGCTCAAGCATTGACGTTGAAATACGATTTAATTCTTTTGCACTTCTCTCTCTCTCTCTCGCTCTCCCCGGCACCTACGGTACCTATACACAGACGCCACGGCATACATGCTGGCAGACACACCCACAGCACCCGCATATACTATTTATAAGCTCATCCGAGAGCAGTAGCTTTACGAACCTATGCAGCAGCAGTAACACAGCTAGTATTTCAACTGACTTTATATATACACGTAGCGCTGAGCCGTTTGATCGATTCGCACGACGCGTGGAGCGAACGAGTAAAAACATAGATCGCGCGCCAACGCAAAATGAAGCGAGGAAAGGCAAAGAGCGAGCCAGGATAATCTTCTTCTTCTTCTTCGTTTTACTCGCGCATATATAGCCAAAGCTCTGTGTCTTTTGACGGGTATATATGAATCCGGAGGGGTAGATGCGTACTTTTTTCGTTCCTGTGTATACGTGTACACACGTAGTACTGCAAGTGGAATAGAGAGGCTTATGCCTTGGTCGTTTCTCTGACAATGGAAATTTATCGTTGACTCAGCTTGAATACGAGGTGTCAACGTAGCAGTACACAGCAGCGGCAGTACACAGCAGCAGCAGCAGCAGCAACCACAGCCGCAGAGCTAGAGAGGCAGCTTACAGTGCGCTAAAAGAGTAGAGCTTGCAGGGAGCGACATCGATTCGTTGACTGTTGGAATTCTCTCGCGCCGCACCTTTTGGATAAACGTTTTTCTGCCACGCGCAAACTCCCGCAGCCGCTCTCTTTTCTATGTTCCGATTGGATTTTCTTTCGCCCTCGTTGAATATGAAAGAGAACGAAAGATAGAGAAAACGACGACAGCGCGAGTGGGGTAAAAATTGCTGCGGTTGTTTCGCCTATACCTGCCTCCCCCGCCACGAAATTCATGGAAATTGGGTTAATGGAAAGCTCGGCGTGAGCTTTTTTTTCTCTCCACTTGAAATATACATCAGCTCATAACTATGCGTCGATAGTAAATTCAGCGAGGATGTATGCCTATGCCTATGCTGGGTCTCAAATTTCCATACACCCAACATCGGCTTTTACTTACTTAATTATGAAGCCAGTCAAAGAAGATCATTTTCCATTTTAATAGAATGGAATTTAACCTTCGCAAAAGAAAAAAATTAAAAAACGAATAGCTGTGAGAAAAAAATTTAAACTATAAAAAATCACAATTAATCGGAAAGTATCTTCGAGAACGTGAATCTAATCGAGGAGCGCGCTCGCGCTCGCTCTGGTAAGTATACGGCTAAGCATTTACATTAAAATCAATTAAAAACATTGAATAATGAAAAAAAAAACTTCAGAAATTAGCTATATAAGAACAACTTTAAGATGTGTTACGTCTGGAAGGACAGGCAAAATTTTACTTGAATATTAAACAATTCAAGTAATTCAATCGAAAACAAAAAAAAATAAAAAAACTTTAGTTGTAATTTTCAAAAAATTCAAGTAAATCAATTTATAAATAAAAAAAATCAAAAATTAGTTCGATAAGAATCGCTACAAGATGTATAGCTGATTTTAAATTTGAAGGTAAAAAATTCTGTAAATATGAAAGGTATTTGACGTTACACATCAATACATTTAATTGCATTCATGGAGCTCAAATAACATTCGCGTGTATAAAGATGAACAACAATGAGGCTTTTGTAGAAAGCGTGAGTTACCAACAGCATCTCGTGCGAAGTAATGCCAATGACTAGTTATAAAAGCGCACTACGTAAAATATGGAGAATTAAAGAGCTGCGAAACCATGCAGGGGGTACAAGGGTACTAGTGCAAGCTCACGAAATTTATAGCTACGCAGCATAAGCACCCACTATAAAATCGCGAGCTTATCGTACTTATCATAATGCGACGGTTACATACCGCTCGAGCGCAATGTAAATGTCCGATACGCAGCCACTCATAGTGTAACGCGCACGAACCTTTGATTTTCTAATCCTCGAAACTACCAGCGCCGGATCGCGGTTGTGCCCGTAAATCATTGAAATTATGTACTTTTCAGTGCGCGTTGAAGATTCATCGATTATGTTCATTAAGCAAAGTAATTTAGTGACTACGAATTCATGTACTCAATTCAACAATGTGTACTTTTAATGAGAAATGCTGTTACGAGAATTTAGGAAACAAAGTTCAACCCATCGCTTGAAATCATTTCACGCTATGTAAATTTATCGCTTTATATACAATAAATTGATCATCGTTTTCGATGCATTTATACTAAAATTTCAATTGAAAAGGTTACATAGTAATTTTTCTTTCGAGCTTTACTAGTAGTTTAATTTCATTCAATATTTTACTCCATTTAATTTCAAATTAATAAATATTAAAAAAAATATCTCTCCTTCACAACACATATTGACAAACAATTTATGGTTTAATATTGTTAATTGCACAATAAATTTAGGGTAAATAAATGAGTTTTGAAAATTTCATCGGTTCATTTACTAGTCATAATAAGGAAATAACAATAAAAGTTGTATATCACATCGTAAACTCATTACGTTAACGATCTCGTTTAAAGCTACTAGTTTGACTTCTCCGAGGTTTTTCGCCTGAAGTAAACTAACAGGTTCCAGACATGAAATAGTTGTTGTACTTTTTTATAATCAAAGATATAGTAGTTATGTACGACGCTTTAACTTTGCAAATGCTCCGACATTATTCTTTTGAGAACAGAAGTGCTCTAAGCTCGTAAAGAATCATCCCTCGAGATCGACGCAAACCTGCAGTCTTTGCAGCCAAACCGACAAATAGTAAATGGATTTGACGCATCTCAACTTTTACCCGAGAGCACGGGCTTCGGTAAATCACCCAGAAAATTTTTCGTAAGCTACAGACGATGGTAAAATCTGTATATACATGAATGCTCACGTATAATTTTATTTCATCGTTGTTTTATGTATTTTTTTTTTTTTTTTTTATAAATTAAAATTCTTCCAAGAGATTTCATACGTGCACACGCGCTCACGGGAGCAACGGCGAAGGAAGTTTCTCGGATGTCTGCTGCGTACGGACGATAAGCGTGCGAGTGGCTGGAAAATTCATCGCGCAATAAATAATTTAAGGAAGAGTGGCTCAGAATCTTTGTAGCTACTTTAGTTGCTTGGCAAGTTAAAGTTTCAAATTTGTGGTGTAACGCAACAGGATTAAAGCATGGGGTTACGCCAACTTATACCGCGACCGCTTAGTTAAATATATGTATATACAAACTCTGGTATATACGCGAACATGCATAAGCGCGGAAAATGAAAGATGAAAAATTTCTCAGATAGATTGGAGGAGATGAGTATTAGAGAAGAAAAATGAAATGAAAGAGCGATTAAGGTCAAGTAGGTAGTAAAATCAGAATAGTCATTTATAAGAAGAGGATTTACACGACCGAGATGAATTTTTTTTACAATGTACTCTTTCAATGGTTTGCTGAGAAAAAAACCGAATATTTTTCTGAATAAAATTATAATTTAACTGAATATGAAAATTAATAATTAACAAACGGGTTTGTTTTCGATGAAATATAAGAAAAAAAATTTATTTTTCAATCATGCTATTACTGAAGGCGGTGTAAAAATTGTGTTTCAGATTCGATATGCGCAATGGAAATCACGACGTTCTACGCAGATCATCGCCGCAAGCGCTCGGTCACAGAGCTTATTTCATTACCGCAGCAAAGCCGGCGCACTTGAGTATTACTGACCTAAAGCTCAAGGACGAGGGGATTTACAGATGCCGAGTGGACTTTGTCAATTCTCCGACGAAAAATCAAAAGATTAATCTCACCGTAATAAGTTAGTTCGAAATTATTTCGTGTTTTATCTGGCTTATACTACATCGCATAATTGGCTTTAACTGGCGTGATAAAGATTCGTTTCTTGAAATTATAAATGTTTCGGTTCGGTCGCAAAACATTTAAGATAATCTTAACTTGTTTAAATTCAAATAAAACGTTAGAGATCTGCATTAAAATTGGTGAAAACGCAAACAAAATCTAATTTCTGCCAAGCGCGCTTACTCTTTGACGTACACGAATATATGTATATAACATGCACGTGCATGCATACGTACCGCAGAGTCATCTACCTTCGGAGCGCGGGCGGCGTCGGCGGCGGCTGGCTGCAGCGCTTTTGAACGAATTGTGACAGCCGCTGCGAAATATTCGTTTTGGAGGCTGCTGCAGCCGAAACCCGACGCGCACATGTGTTTGAGCGCGCCTCTGCATTATACAGTCACCGCGGTACATGCGAGCTCATCTCTCTCTCTCTCTCTCTCTCTCTTCGCGTCTACCTTATATATATATATATGTATATATTGCAGCCCACACTCGCGAATGTAGCAACGCATACAGCACATTATAATTTCAGAGCCTCCGGACAAACCCGTCATTTTGGACGGCGGGACTATGAGGCCGGTATCGGAATTGGAGAAGCGCTACAACGAAGGCGCGAGTGTCAAGCTGATATGTGCGACGAGCGGCGGTAGGCCGGCACCTAGGCTCACTTGGTTCCTCGAAAATACCGTGATTGACGAGTCGTACGAGTTCAAGAGTGACACCGGACAGACGCTCAATCATTTGTCTTATCCACGCGTCGGTAGGCAGCATCTTAAAGCGAGATTGGTCTGCCAAGCCAGCAACACGAATCTCGCCCCACCCCAGACGGCTCTGCTCATCCTCGACGTTAATCGTGAGTATAAACTTTGACTCCTCTTTTTCTATCGAGATATCCAAGATATGCGTCCACGTGTCCCCGCATGGTCCCAGCTCCAAATCATCGACATTTGTTTTATCCCTTTGCCACCATCCGGGCCTTTCCAATACGGTAAAAAAAAGCTTTCGAAAATTTGAAGCGCGACGAATCGACTTGATTAACCGTTGCATCTGCTCGCTCGAGTAAGGACTAATTATGCCCCACCCGTGGATGCACAGGCACACTCTCAGATGTAGCTCGAAGGAAGCAATTTAACAATTTCGTCATGAAACTGTATCTACTGAGTCGTCTAACTTGTGTTCTGCGAGACGAGTATGCGACGCAGTCCTCTTTGCTGCTGCTGCTGCTGCACTTCTTCCGCTTATATATATACGCTCCTTTATTGTATAAATCCGTAATTTTGAAGTAAGACAGCAAGCGATGCTCGCGAGAACGTACATGAATAATTTAGCATCCTTTTCGTATTTCGTCTTCCGCTAAGCGGCTCTGATGAGATGCAACGTATCAACGTATACAGACGTTTGCATACACGCATGCACATATTAGTGCAGTAGCAGAGACGAGAGAAGCGCCGAGAGGATCGCTTTATATTTCTCTCGAAATGTTTGAGCAGCGCAGTATGTGTGATTGGGCTCGGCAAATGAAAAACGGCATTTGCTGGATTCTCTCTCGTTTCTTCTCTCTTCGGAGAAATGCTTCGCAATTTTTTCTATTGAATTCAGATCCATCACTTTGTCAACGTTTTTTTCCTGCACTTGCAAAATCATGAAATAATATCGTGGATAAAACGAAATTAGCTACCAAAAAAAGTTTCACGCGCACAATTATATAGAATAGAAACGACGTGTTTTCGTACCTTTATGGAATTTCGAGTAATGCAAGTTGAATTTAAGATAATCCAACATTTTTTTTAAATAAAGCCGACAATCGCTGGCAAGTTTGTTAACGGGCACTGTGCTAATTACTTGTTTTCCACTCACTGCATAAGCACGGACTCACAATTAAGCCCCAATCGATAAAATGTTGGCGCGCATTAAAATTTATTTTCCTCATTCATCTCTGTGCGCAATTTACGAGCGACAGCATTGTGTATAAAGATGTGTTTCGCGTCGTGAAATATTTTAATTTTCTCCTATTTTATAATCAACGCGGAACAATAATTATGCGAGAATTCCATTCGAGCATTGCTCTTAAACGCTCAAAGTACATAGAACGTTTAATCGGGTAAGTAATGGGCTCTGCCGTAACACAAAATCCATGAATCGTAATGGCATGAATTAGAAGTGTTAAATCTTAATGATAGCTCCAATAATCCATTACAAACATATCGCAGATAGCCGTAGATAAGTTTAATGTGGCTCAGTTGTTGGCCCGAGTGTAATTCGAATTTCACCTGCGCGCGTGTGTGGCAACGCGTTTTATATTACAGTGTACACAGATACACTAGTCGCGTGCAAACCAAGCATGTTTATGCCTGTGTACATGCATGTGTACATATGTGTGTGTGGGTGTGTATGTGTGCGCATTTGCGAGAAATTAAATCAAATCCCGCGAGATATTCGCCAGGCGAGAATTATTCCGCCTTCACGTAGACTACATTATATGTGTATGTAGTTCACAGCGTGCAGAGAGGCCAGACAGGAGTCGTGCGATAATGCCTCCGCTCGGCGCTCGGTGCGTGAGCGTACGACGTCACATTACAGCCCCGGCTGCAGGCGGCTCTCTCTCTTAGTTATATATACGTTCCTTGCGCGCAGTCGCCCCCTGTAGACTTCAGTTGTGCAGCCGAAAGAAAAGTAGACAGCTCGTGTACGGCGCCGCGCACTGCTAGCTGCTACGAGCTCGCGTGTAGAGTACGAGCGCGCGCAGCTCCTAGCTGCTCTCGAGATAAAGGATGAAAAGCCGAGGACTGTTTTGGAATTAACACGGCGAGCGTAACGATGCGCTGCTGCGACTGCCACTGCTGCTGCCACTGCTTTTTCTTTTCTATGATTATGAGTGCAAAATCTTAGCTCACAATTACTCGAGCCGCCACGCGTAATAAGCCGACGACGAGTACACGAGTAATGCGCTGTTTTGCGCAAAAAAAATCTAGCCAGCGACTCCTGGCTGAATGTAGGAAAGCGTCTCCCGCCTGTATGTATTCTACATATGCTCGCTCAGCGGAGACCTAGACGATGTGATCAGGTAGATAAGAGGAGTGAGGGCAACGCCTCTAAGACCCCCGCACGTTGCTGCTCTAAGACGGATCAGAGAATCGCGTGTCGCTCGCTCGCTCCCACTGCTACGCGCGGTATATACATATATACGGAGCTTTCGATTTTACCTTCTCGCGCGCCTTAAACCTATAGCGACAAGTGTGAGTATGTGTTACGGCCGATATAAATGCATAAGTGTATAGGGCGTTAGATCTATACGACGATGCCGGCGTTTCCCTCGGCTGCACTGCTTTGTTTATGTGCTATGCTTTCGCTGCATATACCTCCGCGTAAAGTAAATGCACCTTTACGGTGAAACAGTTTTCGTGGATTGCTTTGCCACCAATAAACTGGATAAAAACTGTTTTTGTTTCGAAATTTTCAAAGATAATACGAATGATACATGTAAGAATTAAAAAATCAATTTCAACAAAAATTTGGTTTGAGTCAATCAAAAATGGTTTCAAACGTATTTGATTGTTACCGCATTGAATAATTATTGTTACAAGTATAAAATATTGTAATTTCAAATTTTTTTATGGATTACATATTTGTTTCTTTATTTTTCCCGCGATAAAGTACGAAAAATGACTCTTTCATTAATCTTACCAAACTTTATTGCAATTGATTGTTATGTATGCTAAATTTTTTTTTTTCAATTTTCTACTTCTTGAATTTATTTCCGTCAAAATAAAAATCAAATTAGTATACAACTGCCTCGACTTGCTGGGTATTGGCTTGTGCATATGTTGAGTGCATTACGAGTATGCACTATACTACTCAAAGTTATGGTCGACACTTCGATTCAAGCATTATTCAGAAGTTTCTTTGTCACGGCTTCTGCTGCTGCAGGAGAATATAACCGACGGCTTGTTAGACTCGAGTTGTAAAATCACCGAAGCCGAGCGAAACAAGTTCTCTTTTCTTTTTTTTTTTTTTTTTTTTCTTCAGCAAGTCAGCTTATTTTTTTTTATTTACACGAACACTACATAATAGACCCGTAGCCAAGGGATTTTTCCTCGCATTTATTTCGATGTTTGTGAATACTCGTATAAGCGTCGCATGCTTGCACGGGCACAGCTAACTGTGTGGTTTTTCAAAAATCGTCAGACCATACATTACTGTTTTCTCTCGCGTGTGAGAAATCCAAGTGGTCTCGTGTACATATATTTGTTTGCGCGCGAGTGACAGATGCAAGTGGGTCAGTGCTATACTTTTTCAAAACGGGGGGAAAAAACATTTGAATTTTTCCTGGTACACGTATTATTATTATTTTACCAAGCGCAATTTTTTCATTATATATACTTTGCACCATAAATTGTTGAATCGCGGTAGCTGTATGAACGACTAATTGGCAAGCACTTATTGCCGTCCGTGAAAAATAAGGAGAGAAAAAAATTAGGGTATGAAACAAAACGTGGAACTCGAGCCCTCAATTTATCTCTCTCAGTGGGTTGCGTATTATGTAAAAACAAGCGATGAGTTTAATAATTGCTTGACACTCTAGCTCTGTCCGTTATCAGCGGAACAACTATTGAAATGAACAAAAGGGTACGTGTACTTGCAGTACGTGTACATTTATACGTATATGACAACTCGACGTTTTAATCAAAGCTATGGGCCGTGATACACACACACCTACGCACACATTCGTACCACGAAACTCCATTTATTGCTTTTGTAAAATGACAGAATACAAAGCACCGTTCGGATTCAAGCGAGAAGAGGGAAAAGCATCGGGGAAAATGAGTCTCTGATTTTGCGTGAGCGTGTATAAATATGTGCATGCAGGCGTGTTTATATGCTATAAGCGTATACGCACGACCAAGTCCATATAAAAATAGTTCGGTGCTTTGACTTTAACACTTTCAGACGATGTAACCTCATTGGTTTATATAATTACTATGCAGGGATGACTCGTTTACGCGTCGATCGGTAACAATATATATGAAAAAAAAATACCGGACGATTATGCTAACGAACTATGTAGCGTGTACTGTGCGTAACGCGGAGGTGCATAATAGGAATTAAAGGAAACACAATTATTGTTAGGCTCGAAGCGCGGATTATCCATTGAAAGAAACGAAACGATGCATTGATTAAATTTTTCGATAATAATTCACTGACATGCCCGAAAAGGAGTTATGTAATGCGCTCATAATATACCACGCGTACGTGAAACATTGAACAACGAGATTTAATCATGGTACAGCTGTCTATAATAAAATGCACATATCTGCAGTCTGTTGGGTCTTGGTAATGATGAACTGATGTTTACTCAGAGTACGCTTCGAATTGGGATTTATATATTATTTACAGAATGAAATTGCCACGAATATTCCAATTTATGAAAAATTTAGATCATGTGAGTTATTTTGGACCGTACTCGAATCACAATTTTAGTAGCTTTGGAACTTGGTTTTCGTATCAGTTTTAGCACAGTAAAGCAATCCAAGCGGAATGCATGATAATTTTGGTGCGTGTTCTAAACATAATTTTATCTATTAATTGCTAACACAAAAAAACGCGTATACTTTTAATTTAAAATAAACAAAAAAAGCAGAGCAGTACCGAAGAAACTACACGAAAGTCTTAGCTGAGATTCGGTTGTTTGAATATTTAGCAATTGGATTCGTTAACGATTTAATCAGTTGATTGAAACTTGTTTGATACTGCTTGTTGAATCATTGGCGCTGCATCCTTTATAGTGATTCCTGATCAATAGAACACCAATCCAAACAATTTATCGTCAAGTTTATCTATAAAGTAGCCTACGAGAATCTCGCTCGGCTTGCTCTTGGGTTTCGCCCTCGCTCACCGCTTGTTTTCGTGTTGCTGCTTCAGCACAATGTGTATATATACACATCGACATGACCGCCACTGTGTCTATGTATGCACTCGTCGATGTGTGTACTACATACTGTAGCGTACATATATATACGTATGCATAGATGGAAACTATAGTGTGTAAGAGGGAGAGAGGGAGGTAGGAGAGGAGCGAGAGGGAGGCTAGTTCAAGCGAGGTGAAGCAATCAGTCTGTCAACGGGCGAAGCAGCAGCAACCCTCTTGATTTCGAGCACAATCGCATTAGCAATACCACCCGGACCATTGCTGATTGCCAGCGTTCGACTGTGCAGCTCTCTCTCGCTAGCTCTTACCATCCGCATTGGGATTAAGACGAGAACAAGACACACACACACACTATCTGACGTGGGCTTGGTACGAGTTGCTAGAGACACGACGATGACGACGACGTTGAATAATATATACGTCTAGAAGATAAAGTCTTGGACTTGGTTCGATCGAGTGTGCTGCGTAACTTTGCTCCAAAACCTGAAATTTCGCGTTTGTAGTGGTTTAGGCGCGCTGGATGTACATGTGTACGCCAGACGAACGGTATGAAATACTGTGGTGTGTGCTCGGTATACCCGGCACAAGATGCAAATCTCAATGACGATCACAAGCTCGATTAAATTGCGCAGATATTTTGGCTAACCGATGATGAAATTTCGATGATTCTTGCACGCACAGCGCGAGGGCATCAATTTTACACATCCTTCATGCGTTTGATCTTATTCACTACTCTAAGTATTTCATTCAGAAAAGTGCCCTCAAAGCGTCAGAATAGCGTTTCGCCCTTTTCACGTTGATTCGATCGATCGATATAGACTCGAGTATTAATCGGAAAGTGGTTAAATAAACAGCATCTACGCGGGCATGCATTCGTACATGAGCTGTAAGTGTTGGTGTGCCGTGGCATTTTATTTGCACATTCCTTTTTATATACCTATATGCTCAGACGATGGTAAAATTTACCTTCACGAGTTCCAACATCAAAAAGCTCTCAAGGCACAATACCAGTAAATAAATCAGATGCCTATTTCTTCCGAACGAGCCACCATTTGAGCTACCGTACGTAGGAAGGTGAAGCAAAACGTATGAGTAAAAGAAAAAATCCAATGTTAAAAGAACTGTCATTTGAATATTTAATCAATTTACGGCATTACTCGTGAATGCAGCTCACGTGCATATATACATGTGCTTTTACTTCGCTGAGATGCGTGTGCGTGTGCGAGTCCGCGTGTATAGATTCGTGTATTTATTCCGATTAAGCCGCGGTGGTGGCGGCGAAGTAGTGGCGGCAGTAGTAGCAGCAGCAGCAGCAGCAGCAGCAGTGGCGATGAATCGCCGATTGCAGATTTCGCATGTAAACCAATTAGTTTTCTCGTGCACACATAATTGTATGGCATTACTTCGACTGCTACTAATACTATGTGTACGTGGTGGTTTCATCAAGTGTTTAAACAGCATGAACTATTGTGCCAAATCAATTTTGCCGATCTCTCTAATTATGGCTAAACATCAATATGCCCCGCGCTTTGTCGTCTACCTTATTGCGCTTAGAGTAAATAATTTATTCGTTGTGAAAATATTTTATTCCTGCGGAACATGACCCAAAATCCGAACAATGAAAGAAAATCCAACTCGCTTTGCATATCCCTCTGAATTATTGCTAGGAATGCTTTTAAATTCGAAATGAAGTTATTAAGTAAGCTCACCGTGTGCGTTATGCTTTTTTTTCTGTTCCAACAGTCAAGCCGCTGGACGTGCACATCTTAACGAAGGAAAGCAAAATACAGGCGGAAAAAAAGTACGAAGTCGAATGCCGCAGTACCGGCTCGAGGCCCGAAGCTGCGATTACCTGGTGGATAGCCAACGAGAGAATCTACAACCAGTCAAAAACCGTAAGGCCATTATTATTTTCCTGACTTCATATCCGTTAATGTACGAAGGCGCGCGCTCCAGCTCATGCATGGCTCTCTGCACTTTATACCCAAAGAAATAATTCGATCGTATCGATCGAGCAAAGAGAACGAAAAGTACAGAATTTCAATCAGACGAGCCATAAATTCAAGCGCAGTTTTCCTTCTCCGCTTTGAGACTACGTTCGCGTCTAGCATACCATATGCCGAGATTTACCAATGCTCCATCAAAGCACAATTCTATTAGACGTTCAATTCCGACTTAGCATCATCATCATCCATCTACACCTTTCGCGCGCGCGCGAGTTCGCTCACACTGATTCATGTATACATGCACACACGCACACACACACAGACACACATGAGTACTGCACAAGCCGTGCACTTTTCGAGTAACGAAACGACATTTTAGCACGAAGGCTCTCCCGCGGCAACGGATCGATTTTATCAGATCGCTAATGTACTCTTGACTCGATATATATACGCGCATGATGTGCGCTGCACGGCGAATGCTCGTATTCGTATATATATGGTAGTACCGATGTGTATTTTTACATGTGTGGTTGTGCGGTCACTTATTTCCTCCGACGTTTTTGAGAAATTATTTTTGGCCCTGCATCCTAAACAAAGTTTTCGCGATACTCTATGTTTGTTTTTTTTTTGGCCGATCAATCTTAGCGGCGTCCAGTCGTGTACTTGCGAATATGTAGAAAGTTTTCGACTTTCATCGTTTTATTACGAGGCACGCGGGCAACCGAAAAGTTTCTCCATACTCGTCGCGATCTATCATAGTACTCGCCGCTTTTTCTCTCTCTCTCTCTCTCTCTCTCTCTCTCTCTCTCTCTTTCTCTCTCCCTTTTTCTCTCGCTCTAGCTCTCTAGATGTACGCGTGCACTAGTTACGATGCGGAGTAATCGCGAAGTTACAATTAAATGCAGACGAAAAGTTTGCGCAGTTACTCGAAAGCCATTAGTCATTTTGACAAACGACAATTAGATTACGATGGCCTGGTATTACGATTCACGAGTGTGTGTGCGTGAGCGAGTGCGGCGGCTACGTGTGTATTTCATCCTCGGATAATAGGTGATAGGCAACGCCAGTTGGCTCTGATGATTTTAATGATATAGGCGAAGAGGGCAAACTTTTTTTTCTCTGCTATATATTTGTAACTCTATGAATCATGCATTTCTTGCCTCGTTATTAACACGACGCGCAGGGCTTCGAAGCGGCAAGAGCAGAGAGCCGATGCAAGAAGTGAAAAGTATGATTATTAATAGATAGTTCATTTTATCTCTCTCTCTCTCTCTCTCCCTTTCTCCTTCTCATCTCTCTTGCCGGTAGCCCGAGTGGATAACGCGTGGGGTGCGAGAGACCGTGTACATTTCATTTCATGCATCATAAAATGCTATCTCCACGGTGTGAAGTTATAACTACGAGATGCCTCTACGTACTCCAGTATACGCACACACACATACACACATTTCTGGTTGAACTCATAAAATTATGAATGTATGAAAGTAGATAAGTAGTTTAATAAGAGACCCCCCGAGCGCGCGAAGAGAAGAAGAGAAAGAGAGAGTGAGAAGGACTCAGAGAACTGCAGCACGTTTTATGACCAGCGCTGCGCGCAGCTCTCATATTCTCTTATCTGATAATTAACACTGTATGTATACAGCTCACTCTCTCTTCCTCTTCGCCCCCGCTGCACCAGTGTGTATATTATATACACATTACTGTCGACTCTTTTAGCTGTCATCCCCATTGCGGCGGGTTTGCGCGCAGGGCCGGGTCTTGTGTATATACACCGAGCTCGCTCGAGCTTTCGCGCCCGAGCGCCTGTGAATTGCGAAAAAAAAGCTCGCGAAATTTCCAGCTCTGTCATTGTCCACGCGTCGGCGGCACTTATCTCGCAGCTTAATCGGATCGTTTTTTGCTATTCTTCCTACCTCTTGTACGCGCGCGCAAATGTGTATGTAGAGCCGTAGTGAATTACCATAATGAAACATCGGGACTTAAAACTATTTAACGTCGTCGTAGTCGTCGTCGTCGTCGTCGTTACCGACCTCCTCTATAGCTTGCAGCAAGTGCTACGTTGTACACCGTCGTGCAATGCAGCTTATATTCTTGACAGGACAGATTACACCGAAACGATAACAGCTTACCGTGAAAAATTGCTATAAACGTGCAATCACGATGCATTTTTCATCGCCCACGCATATACTCACGCATTTTTCTATACACACGTGTTTTTTTTGTGATACTTTCCTATGTATGATTCATAATAAGAACGAGCTTGAAACAAGAATATACTTTTCGACGCGTTGATGAGCTTTTTGATACAAGCTTTCGTTGTTCATTTACACGCTCATTATGCAAATCACTCGCACTCTGTTAAAATTTGTTTCTACGCGCGCTCTAGCTCTATTTTTATACGATACACGTAGGCGAGCGCAACGAGACGCTCAAAGATCGCGAAAGGTACGACGGATAAATGAAAAAATATATCGACGCAGGGCGAATGCAGTGGCGCGCAAGCATGTATACGCATACAGCCCGGACGGGGTGAGGAGAACGAGAGAGAGAGAGAGAGAGAGAGAAGAGGTAGAGGAGAGAGAGAGACTGAGCGTGATGTGACTGGAATCTCCGAGTGGGTACTCAGACCACATTGCTTTATCAAATAATTGGCCGCTATGTCACGTGCTAAACGTACGGCTTATCCCCTGCGCTCCGTCCTATACACGTATACGCATGCATGTATCGCGCGAGCTCGCCACCGCTCTGTGTGTCTCTCTCTGTCTCTCTCTATACAGGTGCACAGCTCGTTCGCTTGCATACACACACATGGACGCACGCGCTCGGTTGACTTCATATATTGGGCTTTGGTATATAGTTGGGCTGCAGCACGTACGTGCGCATACTCATACACACACACACATACATACGTACACGAATACACAATTCGATGTGCAGTAAGGAACAAAGAGAAAATTAAAAAGTGCACGTGTATACTCAACGTGGGAGCTTCGTTTAGTTTGAAGTGCACTCGTGGCTTTTGTCGCGCACCATACCTACACGTATGCGTGGATCGCCACAGAGGCAACATTTGTCTTAATGATGTTTTTTTGCGCGCGTCTCTCCGTCTTTCTCATTATCACTCGCTCTATTCGCGAAGCACATTTTTGTCATGCACGCTTGCATATATGCTCTGTAGATTAAAACGAATCACTGCTTCTCCGATGTATATTTTTTCGCGTCATACATTTTATCGTACTTTATAAAGCCGTCAGTTTCAATTAATATAAGTTTTGAAGTGTGCCAAAATTAGTGCATAATTAGACGAGGTACGTAGTGCTCGTACGTGTAGCACTCGTAGAGCTCGAGCAATGGTTGGATTGGAATAAAGTTGATAAAACCAAATAAAAGATTCGCACGATAGTCGCAGTTACATTGTTACTCAATAGTACATTGACAGAGGGCTCGAACTGTCTAAAGAAATAAATCGATATCGTAAAATTTGGATTACTTCTACATCAATCGAAAGACGAGAGGAAGACAAAAAGAGAAAAAAATTATAGGTGAATGCATGTGCTCTATAATGCACGAGTATGTAACGGTATTATAGAGCAAAAGAAAAAATCAATTTCAATGGGCTCGATCGTATCAAAGCTCGCGCACGCGCAAGCTCGCCCGTAAAGAGTTCGTAAAATGAGAAAAAGCTAGCTGAACACATACGTAGAATTTAAAACCGTCAATGCGTACACCGGGTATATAATCTATAAATGTTTATTATACGTCTGCGAGTGTGGACCGTACGTTACGATTGTTGAAGTAAGAGGAAAAGTCAATAAGTCTTTGACTCTGTTCACTCGCTCTCTCTCTCTCCTTCCTCCTTCCCCTCTCTTATACCCTCCACAAGTATATACATACATACGTACAAAGATATATAGAGCTCGACGTGATGAATTTTCTGTTGGTGGGCTCTGCTATGCAGTATGCGGCCGTGAACAATCAAAGCCTGAGTGTACTGAGCTTCGTGCCGAGCATCGAGGACGACGGCAAATATCTCACGTGCAGGTCGGAGAATCCGAATATAGCGGACAGTGCTCTGGAGGATAAATGGCGTTTGGACGTGCAGTATCAGCCGCTGGTGAAACTAAGTATGGGCAGCTCTCTCAATCCGGACGACATCAAGGAGGGCGACGACGTCTACTTCGAATGCGCGGTGCGCGCCAATCCCAAGGCCTACAAGCTCTCCTGGTTCAAGGATGTAAGCCAATTTTCGCAACTTCCACACATATCTATACTATATATGTTATATAATACGCAATATATGTATGCATGCGCGCTATGCAGTTATATCAGCTTTTCTCTTTTGCTATCTACGCTACGGACCGACTTCCACACGTGATGGGTGGTTTGTTCGAGCCTCTCGGATCTCGGCTTTCTCATGTGTATGTGTACATTCACATGCGCTCACGTATCTTTATTCTCATACGTACTATGTGCTCTTCAATTATCTAATGTGCGCTGCTGTGCTACGACTAAAGAGTTTACTCTCGGAGAATGTCTACGCATTGTGGAATGGCTTCGACCAGAGAATCGACACGGGACCACAATTTGCTTCGCTTTGCTTTTTTTTATTTGGAAAAATCAGTTTTATTTTCAGCGTCCAATGACGTGCACGACGAGTAAAAATAAATTGCAACGTTTTTTTTTTTTTATCAATTTACAGTCGAAAGAGCTGAGAAACAACCTGACACTGGGCATCGTATTGAGCGATCGCTCGCTGGTACTTCAGCGTGTTACTCGACATTCGGCCGGCGATTACACTTGTCTAGCCATCAACGACGAGGGCAAAACCGTCAGTAATCCTGTACCTCTTCGGGTCATGTGTAAGTAATTGTTAATCTATCATCGCCAAACCACACACACACACACACACACACATATATACACACACACATACAGCAACTGCTCACTTACACATATATAATATTTGTAGTAGCTCTAGCATTTTCTCGATATGAACAAGATGCCGTGTAGTGTTGCACTCGCTGCTGCTGCTGTTACTGACGCTGCTGCCGACACCATGCCTACTGTACGGCAACGTTTATTGCACGATTATAATCGCTTTATTTCTCAGAGGGACAATTAAGGTCAAAGGGTAAAGCCTGCATACAACACGGCTGCGCCCGAGAGCTCCTGCTACGTAGGTGCGCGCATTTGCACGTTAATTGATTTTCGATCGAGAAAATCGTGCGTTAATTTCTGAAGCTTTCGATGCAACTGTATTGAAATCATTGACGCACGAAGATTCATTGTCCGCTCCCTTACTATATGTTTCGTACCGATTTCCACTGGTTCGTGTATAATGTAATGCTCGCGCGGGACTAATTTGATTATTCTCTCGGATAAGGAATATTGCAATTTTGCAAGCCGAGCTTCTTAAGAGAAAAATTATACTTTTAAGATGGGAATTAATTATTGCACAGCCCTAATTTAACTTATGTAAGTGAATTAAATATTGCAAAAAAAAAAAAAAATTATCTTCAAGGTAGGTCAAGATACTAAGCTTTTATCATATACTTTTTTTACTACTTATTAAAATCATTTATATTCATGGAGCTTTATTAGAAGCATAAAAAAAAAGATCGAAGGAAGATTTTGCAACTTTATAATAATCGACAAAAATTGCAAGGCAAGTGCTCCAAGAGAGGTTAAGAGATGCAGCCGCAAAGCTCCTGGGAGGTGTATTTCGATGAGCGAAGCGTAAAGAGGGAAGGAAAAAAATCCTGAAATCGAGAGCATACAGGGGACTATAAATGGGTTCTATTAAAATAAGTAGCAGTCCCCGGAGGATATGCGCCGCCGCCGCCGCCTCGAACACGTTCGCATTATATATATATATCTATAAATAGCACAACATTCTCAGCCCCGCTAGCCCTTGGCCTCCCGGTTTAGATAGCTAGCTAGGGCATATGCGGGGCGCGCAGAGAGCGAACCGCACATACGTACGTATACCTCTATACGTGCCTCCGCAGAAGCGTGAATGTGCGAGCGTGTCGGGGCTCTCGCTCTCTCGACTGCGCGCAACCTCGTCGTATCTTCATCTTGTAAATGACCTAAGAGAGGCAAGGACCCGTCGCTCGGCGTGCGCCCGATGCATATTCAATGGTATGTAAAGCGTGTACGAGCTGTGCAGCAGCTCTGGGCGACTACGTACGTACGCCGGCCTCTCGAACCTGTACGGAGACTGAATATTCATGCATGTGCGGCTGATCGCTTACGCACGCATCAAACGGCTATTCCTATCCTACATATACATATTCGCCCTCCTGCGAGGCAGCGCACGTCGTAGCAGCTATACACGTGTACAGAGAGAGAGAGGGTGCACCTGAAATTTCTCACGAGCCGTCTAAGATGTCTCGAAGTGTAATCGATCCCTCCCCGACACACACTCGCTCGGCGTATCGCGTTTTGCACGTGTATAGGTCGGATCGAGCGCGCATATAAAATATATTGCTCGGGAATTAATCGTCGAACTGCGCTCGCGACGACGTCGACGCCAGCACACGCAAATACGCTCCTAGCGCAGCATGTACCGCATATATAGTTGGATGTATGCTAATAAGTGACGCGCACGTATCCCAGGCGCGTTATTGCATTTGGCTCGAGTGTCGGGGGCCGAGAGAGAGAGGAGCGAGCGAGAGAATTTGCTACTGCTGTTGTGAGACCACTTAAGCTTCGCACGATGGAAGTGACACGTCCACTTAACCCTGCAGAGACGCTTATTGAGCTGATTGAATCGAAGCATGAAGGACACACACTGCACGACTCCCGCGTTTCTATATATATACGCATATCTTATATGTATATACGACGTGTTCTCGTGCGCATCTATAGACATGCACTGCGCTATTACTGCTGCTGCTGTTTCGTGCGAGGGCCGTAAATTAGCTTGTGTAGTGCCCTCTCCTCCAGAAGTCCAAACGCACACACACACACACACACGTACACAGGCGAGCGCAGCCTTGGAGATCTCGCGCGCCCGCGCGTCCACCTACATTATACACATGCAATAATATATACGTATACAGGAGCTTGTATTATAACATGTATAACACGTTATACGGTGTGTTCTTCGGCTGCGCGCATGCAAACTGCAGTCAGCGGGACGTGCATGCATATCGGTGCATGCATATCGCCACTGCACATACGTGCATACGACGCGCGCTAGGGAATGTCACGCCGCGACGATCGTATTTGCGCTCTGTAGCTATGGAAGAGCTCCAGAGCGGAGCGAAATTTCCCAGCTAATCTCGACGTCGAGCGATTTTTCCCCCTCCCCTTATTCCTGCTCTCGTCGAGAAAAACGAATTATTTCGAGTTGGTAAATGTTGATGGGAGGAGCTTTTTTTGTCGTGCTTCGGTAGTGATCATCGAACCAGAAAAACGTCATTATTCAAAAGGTTTTCCAAAGCATTTTCTCGGGCTATGCTCACGAACGAAAACTCATTCTAAAACTTTTTCTTAACACTCGCCTCTCCCCCCCGCTCCTTTTCCTGTGCGAGCGCGCACAGCGCTCGAGCCCAGCAAGATATTTCTATTAGATCTTCTAAGAAGTTCGAGCAACTTTTCAAATGCCTCGCGTATAAACTGTGAAAAAAGAGTGCGAGTGCGCGACCGAGTATGTATGGCTGTATGCGTGCGAACGCGCGCGAGAAAGTGTAAGGTGACAGACCAAAAAGCATTAAGAACTTGAAAAGTTCTTTTTTTCTTTTTTTTTTTTTTTTTAAGTCTTTAGTAGAATTGTACTTGGAATTTTTTTCCGATGTGATTTTCCGAATAAGCGGCACTCGTCCAAAAAAAAAAAAAGTAAATAAAACTTTTGAAGAAAAAAAATATTGAAATGCTTCGGTCGATTGAATTTTGCACTATTAAAACTTGAATCTTGCCCAACACCTTTTGCGTTTTTTTTTAAATTTTCATTTTAAAACTGTCAATGCAATCGTTTGTTACAACGATAAAATACTGAATAGCTTATTTTCAAAGGTATTTAATATCTGTCCCAAGTATTACTTGGAAGAGAAAAAAATGATTTCGAAGTTATTATAATTGTTAACCAAAGTTTGACAATTGATGAAGAAGTTTTAGAAACTTTTGAGTTACTCAATTATTTTTTGATTTTTCGTTTACAAAAGTAATCTGAGCTAATCGAGTGTACAAGCAAATATATGTAAAACTAACTAGTTGATTCTAACAACAACAACAAAACTTACACAATTTCACATCAGAACAATATAAAATAACTTATACCTTTTTGAATTTTCAGATGCACCTGTGTGTAAAGAAGGTAAATCTGAGGTAGTCGTCGGGGCTTTGAAGCAAGAGACCATATCATTGGTTTGCGCGGTAGAATCTCACCCAGCGCCGTTAACGTTTCACTGGACCTTCAATAATTCTGGCGAATTAATAGAAATGCCCCAGACGCGTTATTCCCACGCGACTACCTCGTCCACATCAATCGGTTCTCAGCTACAGCAGCAGCAGCAGCTCGATAATAGCAGCAGCCAACAGCAGCAGCAGCATCAGCTGAAGGAATACCAAGAGTTTCACGGGGTGAGGATGAACTACACGCCCTCGACGGAAATGGATTACGGTACCGTCGCCTGCTGGGCTAGTAATCAAGTCGGCAAACAGCATTCACCCTGTCTCTTCCAGGTAATGACGCTGCAGTCTGCAAATCATATCGTGTTCTTTTTCACCTTTGCATGTGGAAGGCGAGAAGCCGTATCTTTTGAATTTTCAATATTCGCTTCGTTGCGAAACGTTTTGCGCAGAAGTATTTATTTTTTTTCTTCAATGATATCGAAAAAAAAAAGAATGAAAAAAATGACAAGCCGATTCTGCACGCGCGTCTGTCAAATAAACTCAGAGTCGGGGTAATGTATAAGCGCGCGCGGCACATTTCACACGATTTCTGCACGTAGCGAGCGTATATGTATGCGCGCGTATACGTAAATTAGCCTGCAGTTGTCGAGTTTTTTCTGTTCGGCTCATCGAGACACGCGTGACAAATTGAAAATGACAGGTATAAATGCACCGAGGACGTTACTCGATATCTATACGGGCGGTTATATGCAGGTAGTTGTTTTTTTCTCTCTCCATACATCGCGTTTAATCGGTAAATCATTTAAAAAATAATCGATTCCGCTCGACCGAATCCATTGGGTCGTTTTATCTAATCAAACGAACGAGACCGCTCGAGCTGGATCGATAGATAGCTGCCACGGGAAACTTTACAAAACGTGCTCGATTTCTGATGCAGGTCATAGCAGCGGGTAAACCGTATCCACTGCACAATTGCACAGCTACCGAAATGTCAGCGGCCATCGGGCGCGAGGACCTCGAGCAGCAGCAGCAGCAGCAGCAGCAGCAGAAAACGAGCGGAGGCAGTAATTTGCAAGTGCAGCCGCAGCAGCAGACGAGCACGGGCTTGCTCGTGAGATGCCTGAAAGGTTACGACGGTGGCTTACCCATCCAGAGTTACCACGTCGAGGTGATAAGCGTCGACGAAGACGAAGATAGTCGAACTGTGCTGAATAAGACCGTAGTGGCGTCGAGTCCAGTCTCGAGTAACGGCGGTCCGACCATCGAAGTGGCTGGTCTCGTGCCCGGCAAAAGTTACCGACTATATCTCTATGCGGTCAACGCCAAGGGTCGAAGCGATCCCGCCATGCTCGAGCCCGTGACTCTGAGGGGTGTCGCCATGTACACGACCGGTGAGTAGAGAGACATGACTTTCTCCTATAACTCGATTTAATTTTAACCCGACGACGACGAGCTCTCGCTACCCGCCAAAGGAAGTCGAAAGAGAGCGAAAGAGAGACTCGGGATCGCGCGGCTGACTAGATTTTAAAACAATGGAGCGTGGTGAGAATTCTATTTAGATGCCGGGGAGATGTTCAACAAGGCAGATGGTGGTGGTGGTGGTGGTGGTGCCCGCTGCTGCTGCTGCTACTGCTAAACGTGTATGTAAGGGCAAAGCAGCCAAGGCGGAATTGTACTCCGGTATCGCCTTGACAAAGTTAAACTACTCTTGGTAAATAGAACAGTGCTAAAGGCAATATCTTTGAAACCCAACTTTCTACTTCTGTAGTTCTTGGGATTGCAATTATTCGCACACTGGTGTACGGCACAAGTGAGCGTAGAATATACACAGAATGCCGGAGCAACTGCAGACCAACTCAACCTATTGACATTATTCGTTCGATTGTCAAATGCAATAAAGTTTAGGGACGGGGCGACAAAAAGAGAAAAAAAGAGGAAAAACCCCAAGTACATTTCACTGGGGCGTTTTGAAATTGTATTTTTAGCGCAGTGTGAAAGTCACTCGGACTCGCGATATCTGCCTGCGAATAAGTTCATACTTTTAATTACGAAAGCAGCACAAGCGTACGCCGGTAAAAAGGTATAAAATCAACTGAATGCATATGGCATTTGGGACGCGAATAGTGCAATGCTCGAGCCCGTAAATGGCCGCAGCTTTGAGCACAATCAGAGTAAAACGGGATATAATGAAAATTGAAATGACTAGGCGTACGTGAAGCGATACTCAAAACTCTGCTTGTCAGTGAACTAGTATACGTGGATGTGGAGGGTGGGTATAGCGGCGCACTACACACAGCATCGGCCGATGTAATTTTAATTACCACTAAACTCTAAAATTGCAGAGCGCAGAGCCAATTTACGCTGATGTACATATGATTTTGTAAGGTGTGTGGGTATATCTATAGGACGTATATTTATAGATGCGGAAAACGTAATGAATAACCAATTAAATTGCATCTACACACCTATAGATAAATATGTATGTATAGGAAGTCGTATACACGCCGCAGCAACTGTCGAGAGTCTCAGGAAATTTGACGATTGTTTATAAAGCTACGCGCGCGAGCAGCCCCAAATGTGTATCAAAAAGCTGGCACAGTGCGTGTGATATATACGCGCGAGTACAGAAAATACCTTTGTCTCTAAGTTGCAGCAATAGCTGCAACGGTGGCACAGCCTCGATGCCGTTAGCAACTTCGTTGTTTGTGCAAACATTGCGTCAGCATTGCAATTAGCTGGTTAACCACGTGCTTTGTACCTTTATATGTCTCTATGTGCTTCAGCTGTGTCTTTGACATTGCTGCTGCAGCTGCAGAGAGAGAAAGAGAGAGAGACACACACGCACAGAGGGAGAGAGAGAGGGATATTTATACCTCGTTTTGGTTCTACTACTCCAGCACAAACGAGCGACAAAAAAATTGGCTACCTAAGTTACGGACAAGCTTCTCTTTCTCTCGTTCTCTCTTTTGGTTATGGATACAATTTTTAGCTTCTCAAGGAAAACGTTGGCAATCATCAGAATAGATTATGTTTTATCCAAAATTTCTAAGTTTTGAGGTTTATTTGAGAATAGGAAATTCGATTCTAATAGTACTTGATTCCTGTATCAAAATTGTTTTGAATTTTTCAGTAGTGCTTAAAATAACTTGTTAGAATTTGGATGCCCAGAAAAGCTCAAGCCATTTTTTCTTCAAAACATACTTTATTTTTATTGTTATTATTATTGTAGTTTTTGTTATTATTATTTTAACGATTATAAATACTGAATTACATTATGAAGGCATATTTTTTCTTTTTGTTGACCCAAAAAATATACATAGCTATGCATTATAAAGATCTTCTAGAAAGCTTACGAAGATATGTATTTCCTTGGGCGTGTTGATGTACATATTAACTGCTACAAACGATAATCAATTTTTTTTGGCAAGCACAATTATAGGCTACAATTCAATATTTTTCTTTTGTATAGTATATAGATGGAATCTGATATGTAGTATACTTGATCATTATTATCTAAAGAGAACAAAACAAGGGTAGATTTCACCGTAGGCGACAAAAGCATAGTTGGCGTGGAAAGAAAAAATGGCCTAAACTTTTCGATGTTCATGAACATTTTTTTCTTTACTGAATGGTTGAAAGAAGGGGACTTTTTTGCTATTAAAATAAATCATCCCTGTATTAAGGGTTCGCTTTAAATATAATCAGCTCATTTTTTAAAACCTATTTTTTCATACAAATTTTCTGGGAGTCACAAATCATAATATGAAATCAGCTTATAGTTTTTTTTCTTTACAAGTTTAGAAGATCTTGCTGGTCAAAAGCTAACGTCTGCTTATAAACTCATTGTAATAATACGTGCGTCCCTTGACCGCGGGTTTCTTGTCTCGGTTCATTGTATACTAAAAATGTGCCCGATGCAAAAAAACTAATCCCTAATTGACCTCAGCGCATTAGCAGATTTACCGGGCGCACCATTTAGATGATTATATTAAACATAATAATAATTAAAGTGTGGATAGGAACAGCAGAATGAGGAAATAATACATCAACATTTACCCCGTGCGTGGAAATGTAGTCTCGGCGAACATGTATAGTATTCAGAGTAAATAATAGAAAACGCAAGCTCGAGCCAGGAAAGCTGCAGCGACTGCAGGTAAAAAAAATAGAAGAAAAATAAATGAAAACCAGAAACATTTCCCGCAAAGAGCGCTCGCGCGCGTATACGTGTGCATCACCGTGTGTCAGTGGAAAATTTAAGTAAATAACGCAAGCGAGTAGTCGGAGAGTCCCGCGAGAGCTCGAGCCGTGCGCTGTGGTTTAGCCGCGTTTTTCAAAGATGCTGCGTCCTCGTAGTCGTCGTCGTCGTCGTCAGTTAGGCATAAGGCAGAGACTTGTTTGCTCATGTGTGTGTGTATACAGATGGTGGTGCACCATGATATGAGTGTATGTGCGCAAAAGCTAGCGCAGTCGCTAGTCCGACGTCTTTTATATACCTCACGACTCCAATCAGACCAAATTGCTCGCTCGCTCACTCGTGCAGCCTCTATACACTCTCCTCCTCGTTTTTCTCATACTTGAATGTGTGTTCGAGTACGTAGGCGAGCTCTCGTGTATTAGTGTGTGCACAAGCTAAATGTTCGCTGCAATTCGCCGTACGTCATACGTGTGCGGATGCAGGTTTGATTTAGAGAAAGATCTTTCCTTGGCGAATATATAAAACGCCAAGAGAGCGGAGCAAACTACTAGACACCTTATTCATGTATAAAGGAGAGACGCGCTTTGCGTGCATATACATGCAGTCGAGAAGCAAGAGCGAGAGAGAGAGAGAGAGAGAGACTCGGAGAGTAAGTGGTAAGCAGGCGTCGTCGCGTCGTATCGAGCAGTGGAGATATTAATTCTCACGAGAACAGAGTGAGAGAGAGAGAGAGCTGAACGAGAGATATTGAAAATCGCGGGGCGACAAATGTTTGCTTTTCTTAAAATATTAAGCTGGAAAGAGAGAGAGAGAGAAACGATTGAACGGGATGCTAGAGAGAAACCGAGACGGAGGGGTGTTCGAAAGGAGGGAAACAAAATGAAATATCGTCGTGCCAATATTGCTCCTAGCGTATAGACTCACTACCTATGAATCCCGCAGCTATGCCTATAGATAAATCTATAGGTATTGTGTACATGCTAGTGGATATAGAGTGGTGTTTGTGGCGAAGGAAAAAAATCTTGTGAAAAATAAAATGCCAGTCTGGCGAAGGGGGAGGAAAAAAAAGTGATAGAGATGTATTTATAGGAACGAGCCAAAAAAAGAGCGAGAGAAGAAGCGCGTACACGTTATGGCCCGAAGAAAAGACGAAGGAGAGTAAAAATTTTTTACTCACTCCTGCATGACCTTACTTCTTCTCTCCTACGGCTGCTCTCTCGTCTTTTCCGCACTATACTTACACAGCAGCTCGAGCGACAAGCTCGAGTTAATCCATTAGCAAAATTGAGCGTACGTAGTAGTACGGTAGTCGTAGAAGTAGTGGTGGTAGTGCTAGTGCTAGTACATAGGAGCAGCAGAGAGTCGAGTCTCGTTGCTGCTGCTGCTGCGAATTCACTGCGTGCACTCGAAATTGAACATAGTTACTCGTGAGCGACTTCTCACTTGGGTTAAAAATGGAATGAGAAATAAGCGAAGCATACCCTTTAATCTTGAACCCATTCACCTGCACGAGCAGAATAAAGAGAGAGAGAGAAAGAGAAAAAGCAGCGAAGAACGAGTAGCGCAGAAAACGAAAGATGACTGCGGCTAAAGAAATAAATGGTTCGCCTGTGCAGGGGTTCTAGCTATTGCTAGAGAGTCGAGCTCTATACGTATATACCACATGCATCGCCTACGCCGACAGCATCGACGATTATCCAAGAGCTTTCACTGTGAATTATTTTTCCTGAATTACAACTCGCAAGATGTATTATTTTTTTGTGAGAATGCAATATCATGTGACGTAATATCATACTATTAATTTCGCACTTATCGTGTTGCGGAAAAAAGTTGGAAAAAAGTAAAAAAAAAAATCAGGTCACACGCGATATTCGAGCCACACTCGACGCGGGTATTTACCGGAAAATTTTTCGGATAACCTGCATAATACTTATGTATATGTATATCATACGCACGCGCGCATATACGAATACAGGCCACTCTCACATACAAGTACGAGCACGTGCATGTCGTAGTTGCTGTAATATGCAAATTCCACTTTTTCGAGCTGCAGCAACAGCAGCGGCAGCAGCAGCGGTGGCAGAAGAGCCGAGGCATTATAGCGTGAGCAATTTTTCGAGCTATACGTATTTACACCTCTGATGCCTCTGTACGCAACAGCACTCGAACGCGCTTCTCAATATGAGATTTAAAGCACGCGTTCAAAAATGAGCTTTGGACGCGCACGTGATATGGCTCGAGAGAGATTGCAATTCACGTAAAATGGGCTTTAAGCTTCCCTTTCAGCCCCTCGCTTTCCCTCGTCCTCCTTTCGCTTCGTGAACACACGTATATACACACACTCATACAAAATCGCTTCGATTTAGGACAAATTGTAAACGCCGGACTGCGAATATACCCCCTCGTTGCTGCAAGCTCAGTGAGCGGCGAAATTCTCCGCTACACTTGATCGTTATTGCGCCGAGACTTTTCTTATACGTATTAAAAATACGTTTCTTTCTTTTGCAGCGAAAAAAATATAATATATATGAAAAGGAAGAAGGAGAGAGAGCAAAGAGAATGAATTTTATGGTGAATGGTCTCAAGCTGCACGGGTGAAGAAATCGATTGCTTATTATTATATTCCGCACATTGCCATTAGCAATATACATTATATATTAAGAGAAATTGAGTTGGGACTGCAACTGACTGGATCTTTTAATGAACGTTATCATTCGAAATAACTATTAGGATCAATGAGTTTGGCTCTTTCTCTCGTTTGCCGTCTGAAAGCCGTAATATTGCTTGGGATTTTATATAGAATCGAATTCGTTATGAAGAACTTTCGAATAAATGTAAATATATTTTCTTGTTAAAATGAAAAAAAAAGAAAGAAAATTAAAAGCGAGGCAGAGAAGAGCAAAAAAAGTGTTCACCGCCAGAGACGTATTAAGAAGTTATGCAATTATAGCAACACCTTTGCCCATTTTCCAATAGTTTAATTGGCAAGAAAAGTTATGTTTATACGAATGAAGTGCAAAATGCAATCCTGATAAGACGTTAGAAAGTCAACAAGCTTGCTGCACCTTCATTTCGCTTCTGCTTTTACTCCCTCTTCTTCTGTTTCTTCGAGGTAACGACGAAGACGATGTGGCCGCCGACGAGCCAATTTCCGTTCTTTGCTCTTGCCTCGATGTTGCTCGGGGCTGCACTGCACAGAGAGAACACGAGGCATCCACAAAACGAGATGAATTTTCATGGCCATGAAAGTTTAATTACATTTGCGAGAGAGAGAGCGCGCGTGGAAAGTAAAGAATAGAATAAACGGTCGGGAGTGCAGTAGAGCAAGTGAGAATGAGAGAGAAAGAAGCTTTCGTAAGTATATTGCGTGGATAAACGTATCTACGCCCAACGGTTGCAAGTTTTTCTCTTTCTTTCTTGTTAAAAATAAGGATGGAAGATGAGAGTATTGCGTATACATAAGAAAATATAAACGATAAAACGCTAACAGCTAGTTCTTGGCGCTATATCCTTACTGATGCGCGAGCCGCATCGGTTATTTCGTTTTACGAAGATGCGCACAGCACCCCCTGCTCCCCCAAAAGATGTTTGACTTTAAATAGCTTTTGTTGCTCTTCTTTCTTTCTGTTTCCCTCTGTCAAAGTCTTGCGAACGTTTTACAAGCCTCGCCCACTGGTACAGCTTCAGAGTAGCAAACAAATATTATACAAGCGAAAAGATACACGAAAAGCTCTGTTAGAAAAGCTTCTAGCTCTATCTCTCTCTCTCTCTCTTCATATCTGTACCTCGATTTCTTACAATTCTTGTAAAGGCAAAATTGAAATTGTCCTCGTCCTTCTACTTGCCAACTATAGAATTTGTAAAATACTTTTAATTGTTACATTCTAAACCGAACAAGGCTTTTATTATTTAATAAAGCCGAGTCGTAATGGAGTCATGTACGTGATCTTATACTTCGGCTGTAATGATTCTGCAACTTATTTATGAATGTACGCAACTTTTCGCGACAAATTGTGAGTATTCGGGTAAATTGCGAGTTGAATTACTAAGATTTGGAGGTAGTTATAAGACGATGGGAGTCTCGAATCGTTTTACGTTCTCGTTTTATGGGTTGTAACTTAGTTTTGAGAAACTTTCTAGCACTTCCTTAGCATTCACCTATATATAAATCATAATTGAGTCAAAATATAACGTTTGTCTGTCTCTTCTCTTCGTTCAACTTGTTCTATATGCAATAAAATTTAATTACAATATAGAAAGGCTCAGCTTAATTTTTGTTTCGCACTTGTTAAAAGTTAACTATCAGCACACGCGATTTCAAGTATAGAATACTTCGTTGGACAAAGCAGGCGAAAAAATAAAGAACAACAATGGGCAATGAATGAAAAGCAGTAAAATTTTCGTATACTCCAAGAGGTTTTTGTACTCGAGAAGAGGATATAAGCTATTCGTAATGAAACAAACGTGCTTGGGCTGTTGACTCATGACAACGTGTGTGTACAAGTGTCTGACTTTGCATTCGTATATTATATATGTATAAAAGAAACCAACAGCCCACAGATGGCATAGAAGGCTTTATTTTGTTGGGATATATATATGTGTCTCTGTGTGCATGTGTGAGTGTACACCTTAATTGACGCAATTATATTCTCTTTGCGCATCTAAAGCCTAGCATGTGGCTGCCATTCCGCAGCGGCATTGCACCAAAAGCGCTCATTGAGTGCACTTGTGTACGTCTCTCTCTCTCTCTCTCTCTCTCTCGCGCGTATACGAAAGTTCTTCCTCTGGTTACAGTGTCTGTGTGTATATGCACTTGCTGCTGTGTGCAAATCCGCGCGCAGCAGCAGCAGCAGCAGCAGCAGCCCCTCGTTTCGCTATCTATGCTCGCGAGCGCTCGTGGGCTCTATGTGTCTCGAGCAATTAGAAGAGATACGCACGAGACCGAGCAGTCGTTATACAGTGCTATAAATTTGTGTGTGCGAGTGTGTATACATCTTGTAATTGTACTTGGTTTAGCTTAAAAACAGCTTCAGGGAGATCTTTTCTTGCAATTTAGAAAGTATCAATAATTGCGTATTAATACCAAGCAATTGTTCTATGCAGCATCGTCTTGTGCAGTAAGGATAACGCATAATGTAGATTATGGTTTGGGCCGCATAACTACGTAGAATCGCAGTGAACCTATCTCTATGTACGACCATTCTAGCAAGAGCGACGAGAGAGAACGTAAAACAACAGGCGCGATGCAAGTCGAAATTCGATGCATTCGGAACTTCGAATTGGAAGCATTTTCGATTAATTAACCTACTCGCGTGTGGATTGAGTAGTAAAATACGGCCAACACGTTTCGTATACATACACACATAGGAGCTGCTGCAGCGTACGCTGGTAATAGTGCAACTGCATTCCATCCCTATATGCAGGGCTGTATCTAGCTATAACCTCTCTTACTGGCGTTTATGCGAGAGAATCGAGAAAGCCCCTGCACATGCACACTATCGTAGCAGTGTGCTCAAGCAAACCCCTGGCAAGCTATGATAGGACAGTAATAGACATACCTGACTCCCCCCCCCCCCCCCCCNCCCCCCCCGACTCTACGCCCCTCCCAGTGAATGATTGTGCTACTATTAAGCCAAACGTACAGCAGATTTGCGAATGTTGCTCTCTGTGCACCGGGCAAATGTATATATAGAGCACAGTACCCTTACAAACATATATACGTGTACTACACAGATATGTGCGCACATACAAACGCATCGTATAAGTATATATGTGCGCGTGCGTGTGTATATAGATGTAGAAGCAACAGAGTATATGTACGTATATTTACGCATATAGATAGAACTTGCAAGCTGGGCTGTGCGGCAACTGAACACGCTCGCGTGGATTAAGCTGATATTAGCGCGGCGTTATTTGAATATCGACAACTAGCAAGTATGCAAGAGAGAGAAAGAGAGAGAGAGAGAGAGACATGGTGCACATTCAGTGATAAATCACGACTCGATGCAAATGTAATTTGCACCGATTGTTATTGCGTGTATAGATATATAGATGTATATGCAATAGGTGGTGTACGGCGATGTAGAATCGCTAACGTATATGTTAGCGCGTACACGCAGTTCACTTGTTAGCATTTTCCAATCCTTTATCTACTGACTCGACAATGCATAGTTGACCCACTGTAACACAGCGACTACTAAGGATTATCTGGCCAAACGAGTTTGTTAAGTCGGTCGGCTTTGCGTGCTCTTTATTTTTTCCTCACTGATAATGTACAGTGTCGATAGGTATCGGGTCACGAACTTTAATCACTCCGTATATCGACCGCCACCTACTAAAAAACAAACGAATCGTTGTCTGTTAACAGGAAATGCGGATGTCTCGGTGTTCAGTCCGCTGCTGCTGGGTCTAGCGGCGACGGCGACTCTTTTGGCCTTAGCCGTCGCGGGCATTTTGGCCGCCCTGTACAGGAAGCACTCGAGCGGCCACTCGGGAAGTCCGAAGCACGCGCCGATTGTGTGCGAGCCACCCAACGCCGGATCGACGACGCCGATTCACTCGCAGACGAAGCAGCCGATCGACGACATCGATCCCGACATAATACCCAACGAATACGGTAAGAACCGACGCTACTCTCATATATATTTTTTTTCATTTATTTTTCGAGCTGTTTGTTTCAAACTATGAATTACGATGCTGTGTAATCTTTAAATTCGTTGCCCTTTAGCGCGACGCTTACTAATGTTTTATTCAAAGCTACAACTTTAAATCCAATAGTTTTTTTCATTTAAACAACATTACAACTAATTTTTTCTCCCTTGGAAAAAAGTCGCAACGTACATGAAATGATAATTAAGACAGAATATAGCATCTTAATTTCATTCGCTCTCTCTCCCTCTCTTTTTTATACATCACACATCACGTCAAGTTAATTAGATTCAATGAAATTATCGAACTATAGCACAATTTACATGACTAATGGATGTTGTACGTTGTGTCATTGATAACAAATCTTGATTAAAGTATTAAAAAACACGAGTACAATACGTTATAGAAACGTTTTTTAACACAATCATTTTGGAAGAAAACAATTTTAAGTTCTAAATTTAATTTACAAGTCATTAAAATCAAAGTTAATGCATAGTAAAATTTTTCAAATACAATTTTTTTGCATAAAATCATGAATAATTGAAGATGATATCGCCATTCTATCAGAAATAATCAAAGTATCAGTGTCGCTTCAAGGAATCGCCAGAGGCACGAGAGACTCGGCGAGTCTTTGCAAGACCAACGCGAAGCTCAAAAAGTATACGCCAACGCGTCAAATTAACATTAAACCCTCGAGGCCGATAATAGCAGCACAGAGCTTGTAACTATATAATCGATCGCCTTTACTTTCGTTTTATAATTCAAGAGAGAAAGAGAGATGGAGAGAGAAGCAAGGGCCATGTCTGTGTACCCACACCATCACGCGCCATGGTGCGTGATAATGCATCAAGGGGTTGTGTCTTTGTAAAGCTTAGCAGAGACTTAGCCATGCCCGGGCAGGGCTTCGTAAGAAAAGTATATATGTGCATAGCTCGAAAAAAAAAAAAAACGTTGCGGAGACGACATTGCAATTCGCCTAGACTTTACATATACATATATGCATCATTGCGCGTTTATTCGCAGAGAGAAGACCTTTAACTTATATCCCAGTGTACAAAACGCCACCCCAACGAAGACGGAGGGTCGTCGAAGGTAGCTGCGCGACGACCACCGACGAATCCAGCATTTCGCCGGAAAAAAGACCGATGATTATGCAGCATCAGACGACGAGCGACGCGGCTCTACTGGTCCTGCCGGAGGCCGCACCGACGATACGCCAACAGCTGGGTCCGTTGCCCACGCTACAACCGCTGCACTCGCCGCATCAACAGTTCGGTGGTCTTGGATTCAGCGCCAATCAGCCGACCTTGGCGGACTTCAAGCAGATGGCCTTCGAGGCCTACAATCAACGCAACAATCACAACCAAAACGTAAGACTACATTTGGTACTTGCACTCACTACTGCCCACTACCGAAGCTGGGCACTTTATTCGGATTTTAGGCCGGCTACGATGCCAAACGTGTACGAGTGGCAGAGTAAACGATCCACAGTGCTTGGGCGCGAGTTCGATCGTACGCGCGCGCGAGTCAACCACTTTAACTTTCTATAGCCTTAAAACGCGCCCCTCACGCGTCCTTGGACGTATAGAAGAGCTCTGCAGTCAAGCCTCCAGGCTATCTGCCGCACAGTTTCACAAGTTTAATTACCTCGGAAGTTTTCTCGATAATTTGAGTGGGGCCAGTCTTTAATGCGCGCGTGACTCGACTCGTGGCAGATCGGCTGTTGGCCACTATATATACGTATCACACTCGAGCGCCGAGCTATCGTGAGCGCAAACGACGCGCGCGAATCTCGCCGAGCTCTTTCGCTTCTTCGGCCGAACTTTGATCTTCGTTAAATAGTCAAATAATCTCAAACTTGCTTCACTGGACAAGACTTTCTCCTCGCCACCGCTCATGAATTTGTGTAACGCACTTTTTTGTGTATCATTAATTACGCGCTCTCGCGCTAGAGATTTGTTTCGATGCTCGTCTTACGCTTTATGACTCGTAATTTTCCTTAAAAATTTGATAAAAAATAAATTTCAGAAATCGTTGCCAAATGTAACCTTTGTCTACGAAAGCTCCGAGCGAGGAGGAAATATGAAGCGGTGTCGTTGATACAGAATTAAATTAATGTTCACAGGTGTATTATAGTCTGCAGAGGGCGAGCAAAGGCGTCTCAACGATGCCTCAGAGGCCTGTAACGTCGTCGGTCTCTGTGCATGGCAAAATACACCAGCCAGAGGTAGTCACTCGTTCTAATCGAATTCAAGAGAGTTGTATATAAAGCCGTTTGTGCATGCCCGACCCCGGCACGATCTTCTATTCTACTTGTATACATTATGATTACCTAGAAAGACTTTTTCAGTAAGAAGTGCAGGGCAGCGAAGGATTTTTTACACGATCTACCCAACAATCCTTAATTACAATCGAGAACTTCATGTGTATGTGTTTGTGTCAAAAAATCAGTCTATACTACAAGCCCAAGAGATATGAATATGTAGCGAAAGTGAAATCTATGTGACATGATAATACTTTGTTTTGTTCCTATAAGTGTATTGTGAACCAAGAGTCTTTACTCTGAGTATGTCTCAAAGAACATTTTTCGGTCAGGACGATATAATGTACTGATAGAATTTATGAAAACTTTTAAACGAATTAAGTAGTTATAAATTGTAATTCAGAATTACTGATATAAACAAAGAAACATGTAATATTTTTTTCTATAAGTAGGATTATTGCAGTGTAATAGAAATTTTTGTGTTATAAGATTAATCTTAAAATAATATATTTTATTTAAGGATTTGCAAGTGTGAGCATGTATTTGCAATGTAAATTTGTTATTTATTTATTTGTTGTAGATATAAACTAAAAAAAGAGGTTGTTTAGAGGAGAGCGTTGAATAATCAAGCACGTAACACACATATCTTCCATGACATTGTTTAAAAAAATGAATATTGTTTTTATTAAAAATTTTATCGATTTTTTAGTATTTTTAAAAAAAGCGTTGATTACTTTTGATATTATGTAGATAATAAAATCAAGTGTTGTTCATAAAATTTATGTATTTTAAAAAGGACGTATAGATATAAAAAACTTGCATATATAAATATATGTATTTGTTACGTAAACTATCGGAAACGATTTTTTTTATTGTTAAAGTGTAAAAAGATATGAAAAAAATTAGAGATTTATTGAAATAATCGGCGCTAGAAGCTAGAAACGAGTTAAACATAATTAACCATTTTGACTTTTGCTACTAACTGGATAGAGCTAAATTAGATCTCACACGTTTTTTTTGTGAAACTTGGCGCGTAATTGTGTTTACTGGACAACTAAATTCAGTAACAAACCTAGGAAATTTTCGGATTCGTATTTTTTACCATCAGCTCTTGAGAGAATTTTAAAATTGAAAAGTAAGGATTTAAAAATTCGCCGAAAATAAAACATATCACACGTATGAGACCGCGAAACACAATAAAGTAAATCACCCCGTGAAAAAGTTGTCATGGGCATGCAATAACAAAGCGGGCACGTTCTCGGGGCTCGGCTGCGGCACGACGAGCGAGAGTAGCAAATAATTTCTCCCCCGTAAAAAAGTACGCATTTCACCAGCAGCAGCGGCAGCGGTGGCGGCGATGACGGCGACGGTGGCGCATATTGAGCGGCGCGTGCGAACTGCAGCCGAGCCAAAGTGCCGAGTTGTTTTCATGCGCGCGCGAACGAACGGGCATCCCGCGCACTCAGCACACTCGGCCTCGGCCGGCGGGTAGCGTGTTTTTTCTCGCTATAACGCGAGGTCGCGCATTCAATCACCGGTCCTTTCAACGATTCACTGCCTTCCGCCGGACGATGACGACGAGAGGCGAGGCTAGAAATTTTCGGCAACGAAGGCCCAAAGCTTCCCATTCGTCTCTTTCACCGTTGACCTAGTAGTTGTGTACACGGTACAGCGCGACGCCGACGGGGTGGAGAGAGAGACAGAGAGTGAGAGAACGAAAATTGCATGCAGTATACGTACGACAAAATTCGATGGCAAACCTGCGGACACGTGCGGTCGCGCGGCTATAGCTTTTGACTCGTATATTTCTCGGGTGTGCTTAGCCCTGCCGATAGTTGATGGTATTGATGCTTCTATAGAGAATTTCATCACGCGTTTGCAATCGAGACTTATATTTAAAAATACCTTCAAAACATAATTTTGTATGTTATTCCGTAAAGTAAAGCGCACGACGACCGATTTCATTTGAAATTCAATATCTTTCAATATTTTTTATACCTTAATTTAATATTACTTTCGCTTTATATACAAGTACAGTCACTGAAAATAAAAATCATGGTTCGAGTCTACAGCCGAAGCTCTATCTAGTTGCCAGCAAAACGAATTCGATTTCGTGGCTTAGATAAATCCTAAGGTTAGGTAAACTTTTACTGTTGGTATCATGAGAATAAAAAAAACAATTAATAGTTCTTTTGTACAAAAAAAAATTTATTGTAAATAGTACTCAAGGGAGCTTTGTATTAAATACCTGTACGACTATTGTAGGTGTATACACAATAAATGGACGTCCGATCTCCGTGTAAAATCAGTACTGCGATTTGCACATGTTAAAATCACAAAGGCACGATGAACCGCTAAAGTATCTGAAGTAAAAAATCGAACATTATTATAAATACGTAAAAACTCGATGATGTAATATAAATCCAAGATAATAAAAATAAATTCATGAGCGTTTTGTCTGTTTTGCATAATTTACATGGTTGATTTATTTACAAATCTTTACTTTTACAGGATAACAAGTATAGAATATGGAGTTAATAAACATTATTCAATTCATCTATTTGTTTTGAACAATCTGACCTAAGCTACGCCTGACATAAACAAGTAGTCGAAATCAAAGTATTGTCCGGCAGTATATTTTCGAAAAGTTTCGAGTTTGGTAAACTATTAATTCGATCAGGCACTCTTGGTCTATCTCAAAGTCAAAAAAAAGTTACACAACCAAATTATTATGGGAAAATTTATGTTTTTTATAGCATCAGGATTATTTTAAAAAAACAGGCGGAAAAAATTGAGTTCCGCCTCTTCATCATACTTCTCTTCGTCTCCTTCTTCCACTGTGATATACAAAACTGCGCGGACGATTTTCTTGCGTCAAGTTAATCTTATATTTATTCCATAAGAAGTGAGAGCGAAGGAGAAAGAGAAAAAAAGAGATAGAAACTGCAGGAAAAGTCGACAAATTCCGTAGAGTCTCGAAGGACCTCTCTCTCTCTCTCTCTTTCTCACATGCAAGACATTAAATGTCGACGCGAGTGGAGTACGCCGCCGGCACCCAAGTAGAGGCTGCAGTACTTTCGCGTCACAGCCTCCGAGAGTAAAACTGCGCTGTGTGCGCTGTACTCTTCAGGGCGAGAAAAGTTTGGATTAAAGTTCTGGTCGCGAATGCGTGCCAAAAAGTCGAGCGCGCACTGCCGTCACTCTGCGCTCGACAACGCGAAAAAGATAGAAAAATACATGTATATAAAAAATACGTAGCAGCAGCGACGTTCTGAGCTGAGCACGTGTATATAGTATTAAAGCTCACATGGCAGAACTTGAAATCTAAAGTAAGTATAACAGCTAATAGTGATTTGATAAAAGTCCCCCGCTTGTACGCGAAACGTTTTTATCCCCCTTCTGCGGAGCGACGAACTACAGTGCTTATTTGCCGTTTCCAGCGCAAGGCAGAAAGAAAGAGAGAGAGAGAGAGAGAGAGAGAGAGATCTGACGATTCATTATGAACTTTTGTAATAGTTGGCTGCCTTTCAACTTTCTTATATTATATAAGTCGACGGTACTTTTCTACTACTGCAGTTGCTGCTGCCTGTGCTTTGGGAAAACCGATTAAAGTGATTTTAGAAATCGTCATGATTGTAGCGTGACATTTTAGTTTGACTTATTGCACCGCTTATATGCGTATACATAGTAAATACGTTTAATTTTGAAAAACTGTGAATTATCTTTTTTCATGTTTCATGAAATGCCCTAATATTTTTAATATTCATTGAAGAAATATAACTAACTGCTTATAAAAAAAAAACAATAATTATAAAAATGGACTCTATAAGTTAGCTAAAGCGCTGACTCAATTAGGCAGTAAAGAAAAAAGAATTAGAAAATCAGTGAATCGTGACCGAAAGAAGAAGCTTCTCACTGGGCTTTACAGAGCCACTTTAATCAATCTCGAAAATTGTGGAGAAAACAGAGAAAGAGCAGCTCTCGCGTGCCATGGAGTGAGAGAGAGACAGAAGCTCATCGTTGATGCGACGAGCATAAAACACCAGCGAGTCTGTTGCTGCCACTGCTTTGCTCCCGCTGCTGCTGCTACGTCGTTGTCGTCTCGTTGCATATTTATGCCGCTGGAACATTTAAATGCAATGCTGCGAGCAGCAGTGGCTGCGGCTGCTTTGCCGCTTCTATACTTAACGAATGTCACGCTGCCGCTGTTGCTACAACGACTCTTGTACAAGCTATTCTATCCCCCTCTCTCTCTCTCTCTCTCTCTCTCTCGATCTCTTGCGTACACACACACACACACACACACACATAAACCTGCAACGCTTCTCTGCAGCCATTCAACAATTCTTTCTTTTATTTGTCTCATTCGTTGTGCACGACCCTCTCAGTCAACATGCTCATACACTCGCGAGCGGTCGTATCGCGTCATTCATCCTCACTTCGACTATCCAGTCATAGATGCGAAAATGAAAAGAAGAAAAAGATTGCCTCGGACGCTAAATTTCGTGGGGGTTAGCAATTCGTACTTGCCAATGGCAGGAAGGGGGGGGGCGGATAGGTAGCGGGTAACAGCACACTTTTCTCAATTTATTTTTTTGGTTTTAAAACTTATACCAGTTGTTTGGCGGTGCGCTCGATTTATATATACCGGGGTAAAAACACACGATGCTCGAATAAAAAGAGACGTATAAATAACGGCACACGCTTGCCTCTAATGGAATTATTTTTCCGTTCTAGTCTACGCATCCATTTATAAATATAAAGTTTAACGGCTCGTGCAGATCTCGAGGTCGTAGCATACTCGCTGGAAATGTGTATGATTCGAACCGAGCACTATTATATTTGCCGTGGTTTTCTCCGGGAAGATACACTAAAGCCAGGGAACAAGTAATTTTACGCTCGCTCGGCCGTGAACCAGCTGCAAGCCTTAGAGAGCAGTACACCAAAATGACGACTACTCGAGTTAAGAACTCGGCCGGGGGAAAAAAATTTGCGCGAGTGTGAAATGCGCTTCGTGTTTGTGCTACAACACCGGCTATATCTGTATTTGCATCAAGACTCCGTCGCGCGGAAAGAGAGCTTGCGGAGTAAGAGTTGCCTGGCTATATACGTAGCTGCTGCTAGCACCGGGGAACCTTCTGTCGCTAGTAAATAGCATTAGCAAGTCAACTAGCAATTCGACTATACTCGTTCTGGCTTACTTACTTATTTCTTGGAGATTCGCTGAGCGCGGAGTTAATTTATACCAGTGGCCTGTCCTCACTATACGAAGAGCCTCTAATGCAGTTATGCAGTTCAGGCGCGACCTAGCCAGACCGCTTACGCGACGAGTTTCAGCTTATTCACAGCTAATTTCCCTTTCTCGTTGTAACGTTGCGAATGTTACACGAGTCGCGTTTGATACAGCGGGCTCGCGAGTGCGATTTTCTAGTGGTTTTTGAGATGCAAGCAATGAAGATTTGACTATAAAGAACCACCTGCAGAGTCAATGATTTATTGCGCGATTAATGAAATTAGAGAGAGTATCGAGACAACCTCGAGAGCAAGAGCATCGAGTGCGTGAACATTGGGCGATCGTGCGTTTTGAGCTGGCGCACGTTGGGCTGAAGCAACCGTTGACGATTACTACCAACTATCGCTGGTCGGTGGAAATTAGTTTGTACGACACGCCAAGTCTAAAACTTAGTGTAGCTCTAAGCACATATAACCTTACTGATGTGCTCGATGCTTTAAACATTGTC